GAACACAAAAAAGCTGAAAGTAGAAATAATTTAATCCAATAATAAAGGGTACTGCTAAATGAAATTATTCTATCCCATTACAAAGATAATTCAGGAAGGAAAAAAAAACTAAAAATGGAAACCATTAAAGGGAATTGCCTCTGGGTTTGCGAGATTTGGAGTGGGGAAAGGAGAGTAGAAGCTGCTGACTTATTTGCTATATATTAAAAGAATTTTAAATAGAATTTTATTGGGACAAAAAAGTATGTTTCCAGTGTCAAAACCCTCTCCCAATCAGCCTTGATTCATACACAGGTCCTATTTGTGAGTGTCACAGACCCCCTCATTAATAACATTAATAAAAATTCCACATTTCCCAACAGCTATAACTCTTAAGATGCAAATAAATCATACTAATAGTTATATTAGTCCCTGCAATGGTTGAGCCAGTAAAATCCTAGACTAGAAATCCTGAATTCACAAGACAAGTCATTGACCAGTCAGGGAGGGAAAAAAGCAAGACTTAGAAATAAAGCAATGTAACCAATATGAAGCAAAGATGTTACTCTGAGGACTAAGGTATGCCTGACCCAAGCCATGGTATTTTCAATAGCCGCATACGCATGCGAAAGCTGGACAATGAATAAAGGATACCAAAGAATTGATGCATTTGAATTATGGTGTTGACAAAGAATATTGAATATACCATGGACTGCCAGAAGAATGAACAAATCTGTGTTGGAAGAAGTACAGCCAAAATGCTCATTAGAAGCAAGGATGGCGAGACTTCATCTCACGTACTTTGGACACATTATTAGGAAGGACCAGTCCCTGGAGAAGGACATCATGCTTGGTAAAGTAGAGGGTCAGCGAAAAAGAGGAAGACCCTCAGAGAGATGGACTAACACAGTGGCTACAATGATAGGCTCAAGCATAACAACGACTGGGAGGATGGCGCAGGACCAGGCAGTGTTTTGTTCTGTTGTACATGGAGTCACTATGAGCTGGAACTGACTCCGTGGCACCTAACAACAACCACCACCACCACCAACGCGAAAAAGTAATTGAAAGTCAAACTTTCATCCAGTTTGAAGGATGTAAACCTATTCTTTATATTCATTATCAACTAAGAAATATTTCCTCTGATTCTTTAAGCTTCCACAAAGTTAGAAAGCCAAGAGGCTTCCGAGTATAAAATTATACTGCTACTCCATTCCTCATCTGCCAACTGCATTTTAACAAGTAACCTAACAAGAGACCTAGTTTGCAACAGAACAGCCACCACTACCACAACAAAAGAAAATGCTTCGATACAAAACTTCAGGTTACCATGACACTACAGACATAGCAACCAGGGTGCCAGAAGGCTCAAGTAAGCATTTGGCAACTTTCTTTTATATTCAATTCACATGATTCACATATCTTAGTATCTCTTACTCCAGCAATACAGCAAACAATAGCAACAATCTTCCCGTTTCTATCACAGAATCCTGTTTTAGAACAGCTTCTCAAGCTGAGTATTCTTTGGCCTGTTTTTGATCTCTGATCTGGGCTCCACCTAATATTATTCCGAGTATTGGTCTTAATATATACATAAATGATAAACTCAAATCAGTAAGGGATAATCTAATACAATTTAACTGGAATAATAACAACAATATCGAAAAATTATTCTACTATCCCACTATTACAAAAGTGTGTGTTCTAAAGTCCAGGAGTTTTACTTCAAAGTTTTCTTGTTTGGAACAGCAATATCTAGCAATAGACAAATATCTATGTATTAGAGATTTGTTTTCAGATGCTCAGAGTGAGTACACTAGGTAGTTTGATTTTCAAAGACTTATCGATTTGCCTCTTTTCAAAGTTTTTATTAGTGGCAATCTAGTTCAGAGGTCGAAGAGTTAAACCTCATTCAGATGCCACCCATTTTCTTGAGGCCTTGAAAAAGTTATCCAGTTTCAAAATGCCAGCGCTAGAAACGACCTTGGAGGCTATCAAGTCCAACAGTAGTGTTTTACATACTGAACTAAGTGAAAGCACTTTAAAAACTGACAGTAGTAGACAAAAAGTATCATTTTTACCCATGAGGCCCAGGCAAGTTAAAAAGACTTATACGAAGTTAACCATATAGAACCAAGGCTAGAACTCTGAGCTCCCAGAACCGAATCTCACACCCTGAACATGCCAATTGAGTGTACTATTTTAAATTGTTGTGGGAAGTTTTCATAAAATTGTATGAAGAATATATTTATACATATATCCCATTTGACAATTTCTAAGAAGTAAATTGTTACGGATTGAATTGTGTTCCCCCTACCCCACAAAAAGATATGTGGAAGTCCTAATCTCTGGTACTTGTGCATGTTACTTTGTTTGAAAATAGTCTTTGAAGATGTTACCAGTCAATGTGAGGTCATACCAGAGCACAGAGTGTCTTAATCGGTGGCATCACTAGGGTTGGTGTCACCCAGTGCAGTAACTCATGATGTCATTCCTGCCCGCCATGGACCCTCCTCCCATACCAGACCATACAGAATCCTTAGTAATTTTTTTTGAACTAATGTTACCCGTAAATTGTAATTCTCATATATCACTCCTTTTCCTTTAATTACTACTTCGTTCTCAAAAAAGTTATTAATGTAGGTTCACAAATACTAATTACCACAATATTGTAACTGATATACCAGAAAATTGGACAAAATCGTGACTATAAAAACACCGGCAGCAACAAAAACATCACTGTAACTGGGTAATAATGACAGCTCTGATCGGAGCACATTACAAGGTTCAAAAAGTAAATTAGCATGGAGTTTTAGCCTTGTAGGTATATTGATGCATGTAAGCTGGGCTTACGAAAAAATGTTTCGTAATATTATAACTATGGGATATTTTTATAAAAAATAATATCTGCTGAAACACTGCACCAAAAATTTATAGTCATTCTGGTGTCATTGTCACCTGGTGTGGTCTGCACTCACCCCCCCCCCAACACCCCTAGTGACCCCACTGGTCTTAATCCCATCTGAGTGGTGGTTTATAAATAAGAACAGACAAGAAAAACACAGAGAGAAGTTGAGGAGCGGCAAGGATTGCCAGGAGCCACCAGAAGGTAGGAGAAACGCATGAGACAGTTGCTCTCTCAAAATCCTCAGACAAAATCAACCTGGTCAAAGCCCTGATTTGGATTTTTTGTCTCCAGAACTCTGAGACAATCATTTCTGTTCTCATAAGCAACCCAATTTGTGTATTTTGTCATGGCGGCCCTAGGAAACTAACTAACTCATAGATCTTGCAAAGTTAGGAACAGAACCCAAGGGACAAACCTCTTTCCCAAAATTGTACTCTCTTCTGACATCACCATTTCCTGCCTCACTTGCAATTTCACTCCCTAACACAAACTTGGTGGCAGTGGTGGTTTTGTGGTAGAATTCTCACCCCTCTATGTGGTGTAGGAGACCCATGTTCAATTCCTGGCCACTGCACCTCAGTGCAGCCACCACTCGTCTGTCATCGGAGGCCTGCATGTTGCTATGACACTGAACAGGTTTCAGCGGCACTTCCAGACTAAGATAGGCTAGGAAGAAAGGCCTGGTGGTCTACTTCCAAAAATCAGCCAGTGAAAATCCTATGGATCACAATAGTTCAATCCCGTTACACAGGGTCTTGCTCAAACTGTTGGCTGAATTACTATTTTAAAGATGCAAGTGTTTTCTATACATTGCTATCTTCAAACACTTTGGGAAAGGAGAGAAAACAAATTTGCACCTAGTACTTTCATCAGATGGATGCAGGAGCCCTCGTCAATTAACCGATGAAAGAATCAAGGTGTTTAATGCTAAAAGTAGATTTAGTACTTAAGATGATTTACAATGTATTTGATGCCTCTACAAAGTAACTTGGCTGAAGAAAGGTTACAAACCCTACGTTTAGAACAGGGTAACTACTCTTGTACAGAACTAGTTAAACTAGATTATGGTCATAGGCAATTGATTCCAAAGCCTTCTGGTGCACAGTGCCAACAACTGGAGATTTCCAATGGAGATTTTTCTAGGCATATTGTTCACGGCAGCATCGTTATGCTTCTTTTCCTAAAATTGGTGGGTGGGGGCATAGAGTCAGAAGTTTCAAAACATAGGGGAGGGAAGAAAATATTCCGTTTTTTTCTTGGATGGATCTATATACTTTGCAAACATATCTATTCCTAATATAGTCTACTGTGGAGCTACTGCTACATTATAGTCATCGGTTCTTTATTTCACACATTATCCTGCTTATGGCCCCCCGTCTGACCTTACTACTTAATAACATACATTCAAGTCAAATTTTCTCTCTCGCTCTTCCCAGCATGAAAGATACACGTCTTTAAAAACCAACTGCTAGAACCCTGTCTGACGACCACATTCCAGCAAGGAAAAGACTCATCCAAATGGGCTTCCTGGAGTGTCCCAGGCCTTGCAGTCAGTCCTGCGGCGCAAAAGTGGGTGTGTCCGCGGTACCACTGCCCTCTTTTCTGCCGCCTGCAGCGACACCTCTAGGCCCCCTATCTTGAGGTGGCCTGGGGAGCTATTTCTAGAGCATTTAGAGCTCAGTCCACCGGTCCCACCTCTTTCTTTGAGGCTGCACTGCACTTTTCACCTTTCCTTCCTCCTGCTTTTCCCAACAAGATGATGGTGGTGGCGAAAGCACAAGTGAATCCCCAAACCACTCCTACTCTATGAGACCACTCAGAAGCCCCTCCTCCCCCACCGAAGGCTTCCTCGGGGCATTCCCGCCGTGGGAGTCTGCACTAACAGCGACCCTCTCTTATATACAGGCGAGGGAAACCCACAAGCGAAACCACGGGCTGGTGGGGGGTTGCGAGCGAGGCAGGTGGGCCATCCGGGGCGCCTTGGTAAAGGTCGTCCCCAAGGGTTTCGCTTAAGGGGGCGTGGCCGCGCCCCCAAAGCTGCGGTCGAGCCAGGGAGCAGGCCGGGGCCGAGCCGAGACACCAGGGCGGGCGCCGTCTGGCCGCGGGGACCCACCAGCTGCTTCATGTCCTCTTCCGAAAGCTCCGCGTAGCGGTACCGCTGCTGTTCGAATTCGTACCGGGTGGTTTTGGCCACCACCACCACCCGGGACGGATGAAAGCCGCCGTCGGGGCGGCTGCCACAGCCCGCCAGCTCGCGCTGCTGTCCTTGCCCGAGGTGTCGCGGCCGCACGGCGGGGCCTCCCGCGCCTGGCCCCGTCAGCGCTGCCGCCCGGCCGCCTGCCACGCGACGACAGCTACCCAGCAGGAAGCCTCGGTAGCAAGTCATTGTCGGCCCCGCCGGGGCAGCAAGCTCCGACTCCCGCCTCCGCTCCCCGCCAACCGGAGCGAGCGCCGCCCGTACTGTTCCTGTCTCTAACTTCGCGCCGGGCGAGCAGAGGTTAAATGCACGGCGGTGCGTGGCTCCGACCCCGTGGGGGACGTGCCCAGACGTTGACGAAGGCGGGGAAAGAGAGGCAATTGGCAGGCGGGGGAGCACAGGCGAGGGAATGGTGGGCGGGGAGGAGCTGCAGACCTCCGGTTGGTAGGTTTTGTTTGTTTGTTTTTGCGATTCCATCCACGCCTGCGCAGTCGCCCCTCGCCGCCCGTGGGCTGACCTCCCGCTCCACCCCCTTCCCTGTGGCGGCTCTTAGCCCGCCCTAGGGCCACCTGTCAGCCAATCAAAGCCTGCTGCGGGTTCGGTGCCCGAGGAGCAGCCGGGATTGGCTGGGGCCGGAGGAGGCTGGAATTCTATTTGGCATTCGCGCTGCCCCGCAGGAATCCAGCTAGAACCACTCTGAGACTGCGCGGGTGTTGTGGATGGGGTTTTGAGCGCTGCGCGGGTGTTGTGGATGGGGTTTTGCGCGCTGCGCGGGTGTTGTGGATGGGGTTTTCAGCGCTGCGCGGGACTAGCGGTGGCTGCTATCTAAGTTACTGTTCTTACTTATTATTGCCCATCAGAGTAGATATCATGCTCTTTGTTCGTTCATTTAATCAACGCGTGTTGGACGGCTGATGTTTTCAGCCCTGGACTAGGGACTGAGGGCACTGACTCAGGACCAGCTACACAATTTGCCGGAGCCTAGTGCAAAATGAAAATGCAGAGCACCTTGTTCAGACATTATTGAGAATGTTAACACGGACAGCAGAGCGTTAAACACAGCACCGAACCCTTCTAAGAGCGGGCCCTTTGCGACTGCACAGATTGCAGCCCCTGACGCTGGCCCTGCTGACCACTGGAGAACCATCAGCCCTGAGGGAGAAAGTGTAGCCTTTGAGGAAAGAAGAGGATAATGTCTAGAGGAGTCCGGCCAAGTGGACCATTTCTAGATGGGAAGATAGGGTTGAAAAGGTAGGTAGGAGGAGAGTGGAGGGTTACAAATGTTAGTAATTTGTATCTGTATCCTGTAGGCAGTAGTTTGCCCTTTGAAGACTTTTTACCAGATGAGGTGAGTCATTGAAAGCAGCGTTTGATGACTATTGATCTGGCTTTGGAATGTTGGGTAGATTGGAAGGCAGGAGGGGCAGTGGCGTCACCAGGATTACTGTCACCTCCCTCCCGTGGACCCTCTTCCGGTACCAGACCATACAGAATCCTTAGTAATGTTTTTTGTAGTAGTGTTAAAAGTTATTGATACAGGTTCACAAATTCTAATTACCACAATAGTCTAGCTGAAACACCAGAAAACTTGACAAAATCAGTGACTATAAAAACACTGGCTGCGCAAAAACAACAGAAAGGGCTTGTATCGCAAAACCACGTGATTCAAAGAGTCATTGTAATGACTGAGCGGAGTTGAGAAGTTTGAAAAAGTAAATTAGCACAGTTTTCGTTGTAGGTATGTTGATACAGGTAAGCTGGGCTTACGAAAAATTTGTTGTAATAACTACGGGATATTTTTATTAAAAATGATAAATATCTGCTGAAACACTGCACAAAAATTTTATAGACAGTCATTTTGGGGTCACCCCCTTTGACAGTGTCACTCAGTGCGATCTGCACTCCCCCACCTCCCTAGCGATCCACCTAGGAGGAGGGAGATCGTTGGAGGCTGTTGGAATAGTTAGGCATAATAAGGACTTGGGCTGGGGTAGTAATAGAAATAGAGGAAAAACTCCTCTTATATAGGGGAGAATCACATGGCAGTGCATATCCTCGTGTTTATGCCTCTTGCTCCTCAGATCCGTTTGCTTTGGACCCTCTTTGCCCCTTTGTAGTCCTGGCACTACCATAGCAGGCTTTTGGACTTTAGACAGGTTACTTCATCTTTCTGGACCTCAGATTCCTCATCTGTAAAAGGAGGGGGTTGAACTAGAGTGATTCCAAGGGTCTGTCAAGCCTACCAACATTCATTTTATAGGTTCACTCAATATTTATTGAATGCCTAGTATGTACCAGGTGGCACAGTGGTTAAGTGTTTGACTGCTAACCAAAAGGTCAGCAGTTCGAATCCACAAGCTGCTCCTTGGAAACCCTATGGGGCAGTTCATCTCTGTCCTATAGGGTTGCTGTGAGAGTTGGAATCGGCTCGATGGCAACAAGTTTGGATTTTGGTACATACCAGGTAGTGCATTAGACTAGAGAAATACACAACTGAGTCTGATAGGTGTCTACTTTTAGATGGTCAGTGACTGCTTCCCCAGGGCCAAGAACTTTGCCTTACAGTGGCTGCTGAATAGGGACTGTAACTTTAAGCACAACTCTAATTTTTGCAGGATCTGAGTTACTCATCTATAGCTCAAGCCTCTTCAAGGTCCTTCTATTCTTACTATTCTAACACTTTATAATTCATTAGATATTAGGGAGGAAGAAAAGGGAGAAGTCACAGATGACATGTTTGAAGCCCATAAGAGGAGGAAAACATTCATTGTTCCACTTAACAGAAAGAAAAAAATGAAATGAATAGGAGAACCTGTTTTGGATAAAAATCTATGAGTTTTGTGGTACATATGAAATTTCAGAACTTTTTTCTTCCCACTACATAGATAAGAATTCTGGGGGTTGGCTTTTCCCCATTTCCGGCTACAAATATATTTACACTGACATCTCAATTGGGATATCCCTTTGTACTTGGCTATTTTGGATCCCATCTCCTTCCACCTCCTCAAAAATATTGTTCCATCAATCTGTATTCTCTTATATATGTTTAATTCTCCCTCTCGTTTGGATTTTCCTCTTCAGTATTTAAACATGCTCATGTCTATGACAGCCTAAAGAGAGGGAGAAAAAAAAAAAGCAAAGCCCTGTGTCCCACTGTAGCTTTTTACCACATTGCCTATCTTTCCTTTATAGCTAAGATTCTTGAAAGTCTCTGCTCATCATGGTGACATCCCTGCCTCCTATTCATTCCTCAACCCTTTGTAATCTAGCTTTTCTCCACCATTTCACTAATTACTATTTCCAAGGTTACCAATGAAGATATTTTGTGGTCATTGAAATTTCTTTATCTTTCTGCAGCATTTGACATGGTTATTTCTTCTTGAAATCTTTTACTCTGACTCCCAACATACCAGTCCCTAATGGTGTTTCTCCCATCTCTCTGAGTCTTCCCTTTGAGTTCTTAACTAAGCCCATCCCTAGGATCTAACCTTGGTTCTCTCTCTGTATGCACGCTCTCCTAGGTGATTTCATCCAGTATTACATAATGGAAAGAGCTTGGGCTTTGAAATTACAAAGACCTTGGTTTAAATCCCAGCTTTACTGTTTATCAGCTTTGTGAACCCTGGACTGGTTGCTTAATCCTTCTGAACCTTTTTCTTCATTTACAAAACATAATAGCTGCCGTATAAAGTTGTAAATACATGTAGAAATGCCTGGCTGTATGCCCATCACAAAGTAGACACTTGGCAAATATTAACCATTTTCCTCTTCCGTGATTTAAGTTACTACCAACATCTTTAGTCTGTATCTTTCTCCTGAGCTTCAGATCCTTATTTCTAGCTTCCTGTTGGATAATGCCTCTTGAATCTTACACATACAGCACACCTTAATGCAGCTCAGATTATGTTTTCGTGTCCGGGCCAAGCACCCTGCTAGGTGCTGGAGATAAAAAGAAATCCCTTCCTTTGAGGAACCTAAAGTCTGTGGAATGCTATTTATACATAGGGTGCTATAAGGATTTAGAGGAACAGGTCTTAAATCAGCCTAAGAGGAGTTGAGGAAGGATTTCTGGAAATGTCATGAATGAGTAGCTATTAGCTAGAATCAGCAAGAATGAGAAAGGAATTCTCCAGAAGAAACAGCATACTTAAAGAAATAGTTCTGAATTTCTAGAGAATTTGGAGGGTGGCAGGCAACACTGGGAGGTGAGGATAGATGTAGACAGGGGAAAGACCATGGAAAGTTTCATATCCATACTTAGGAACTTGCTTTTATCTGATATATGATGGGAAGCCACTAAAAGGTGTAAGGAGAAAAGATATGATTAGCTTTACAAAAATTATAAACAGGCATTTTTTAGAAGAAACACATCAGTGAATATCTGAAAAGATACTTAACCTTATTAGAAATAAGAGAAATGCAAATTAAGGTCATAGTGAAATACCATTTTATATCCACTTGTTAGTTTCTGTTAAGTTAGCTCCAACTCATAGTGACCTTATGTATAATAGGATGAAATATTGCCCAGTCCTGTACTGTCTTCACGATCATTGGTATGTTTGAGTCCGTTATTGCAGCTATTGTGTAGGGCGTTCCAACCTAGGGGCTGATCTTCCAGTACTATACCGGACAATATTTGCAGAATACTGTGATCCATAAGGTTTTCATTCGCTAATTTTCTGAAGTACATTGCTAGGCCTCTTCTCCGATATATGATGGGAAACCACTAAAAGGTGTAAGGTGTAATCTATCCACTAGATTGGTAAAAATCAAGAAGTCTTGCTAATACTCTGTTTGAAAACTGTTACCATATCCCTGAAGTTTTATTAGGCTAAACATTCACCAGTTATTTCAATAGCTTCTCTAATGTCATCTCCACATATCACCTTAGAAACTTCAGAAGTGTTCATGTATTCCAGTTTGTCAACTCTAAGTGTGATGTCAAAAGTTGGTGAGTACTCTGAATATACTCTGACCAGTGCAAAACAAAAACTCAAAAGGTAATTTATAATCTTATCGAGTGTCAAACTTGAACCCCATCTGTAGCAAGACCAGTATGCTTTTCTAATGAATGCATCTATCCAACCACCTGCTAGCCACATCTCCAACAAGCTGAACTGTTCTCAACATTTTTTGGGAAAAATTATATATTATTGTAATATTCACAGCTTGAAGATTTACCAAGATCTTAAGATGTATCCTTCCCAAAGTCAAGGTTTTTCTATTTATGCAAACCCTAGAACCCCCTCTAGCCCACTTCATGTACATTCTGACTTGGTGAAAGATATATACTTCCGCTTTTTGATGACATTTGAATACTCTGGGAGCTAAGGATTCCTGGCCTTGGCAGTAATGGATGTAAAATAATATTTTTAAAGAGAACGTTTTGATGACCCATAATTAAACTGAATAATTGGGTAAAGTCCTATTGGAAGACAACAGTGTTTAGATTATCTTAATAAATGATACACTGGGGGAATATTTATCTAAGTAAATTTTAATAAAAATAGCTTCTATGGAAATTCAAGAAGATGTATGCTTTGAAATCACCTACCTAAATAACTTATGAAAATGAATATCATCCATACGATTGATTTCTTCACATTAAAGAAGGGAAAAGGACATAAAAAAAGAAGACTAGATGAATAGGACAAACGAAAACTGTAGAATATTTCTATTACTATTATCTCCCCAAAATATATCATTAAATATTTGTGTAAAGATTATAAGAATGAATAGCAGCGTGGACAGGAAATCGATTGAAAGTATCATGAGCTAAATAAGTTACTGATGTTAACAGCCATGTCATAATCCCAGATATTTTCAATCTTTCTCTTACTGCCTTCTCTAATATTCTACACTGTTTTTGGTTCTGTTGCACTGACATTTCTATATAGGTCAGAAAATAGTCTAATTTTTTCCTTTGGTATATGCAGAGAAGTCCAAGGAAAATCATAAAAGGAAAAGAATGAATTCAACTTATATTAAAATGTTTGAACCATTGAGAAAATATTGCTTCATCTCTTCCCTAGTGTGGGGGCAAGAATGAACGTTTCAGGAAGATAAAAGAAGATCTCTGTTCTCTGTTTTACTTTAACAATTTAGTGCACAGCGTTCCCGTATCAGCTAAGATCCTGCAGTAAAAGAATCAGTACTTTACTTTCTTCTCCAGATGTATCTCTAATTATGTTATGCTTCTAATGAAGAATTTCCAGAGTGTGTTCTGCATCAGAGTCACTCTTCTGGATCAAAAAAAACTTTAGATTCCTGTTTTTCCATTCTTTTTTCTTTTTCTTTCCTTTCATGCCAGACCTTTTCTGTTTTTTTGTGTCTTTGTTTCTTCTATCTACTTTTTCTCTCTTCTTCTGTCTTCATTTTCTGAGTCACTGCTTAATTTAGAATAAAACGATGTTACCCTGCTATATTTCTTCTGTAGTCATTGGGAGAATGAACGGGCCTCTCTTAATAATAGCTAACTTATACTAAGTTGTAGTTATCCACTTACATGGAAACAGCAAAACTTCGAACAATTAAGATACTAACCAATTAATAGTCTAAAAGAGTTCGTTCAACTTCCAGTATGTTAATGTAAACCTTTAGATATTAGCTGAGATTTGACTTAATAAATATATGTATATAATTGCTTTTATTACTTATAAAAGGTACTGTAGTAAAGTAATATAACTTTTTAAAAAATACATATATTCACATGTATATATCCAAATAAACATTGTTCTTCAAAGTAGTACTTTGTGAGGTACACCATTATTCCAACTGTGTTGTCATTTTTCAAAACATCTTCAAAAATCATTTTGGAGTTGTGAATCTTTATCCCATAGTAGGGGAATTGTCTTAGGGACACAATCAAAAGTCATTTGAAGCCATGAAGTAATCAAATTGGATATATCATTGGGTTGAAAAAGGAAACATGGCAGTAAGTACTCAGACTAAATTTTTTGTGTGGCTCATGAAGTGTCTCTGAAACAAATCTCAAGGCATCAAAACTCTGTTACATAATTATTGAAATAATTGTAGTCTACCATAATGTCGTTTAAGAAAAAGACTAATTTGGCTATATATGGTAAGTTTGTTTAAAAAAGGTCTCTTTACAACCACACCTAATAGAATACAAAAGACAATTACATAAATAAGCAAAAAAAGCAAATTAGCATTTATGACTTTTTTTATACAGTACTTACTGTTTTGATAAATAGGCAATGGCTTATATTTTATTCATTCATTCAACAGCTGCTGGATGCTAACCATGTGTCAGGAGTTATACAAAGAGCAATGGATACAAGTCCAAGACCATATACTCTCTCTAAGGAATTCATACCATGAATATATAAGCTGATAGTATTAGGAAATCCAAAGGTTAAATGAAAATACATATTTACCAGAAGATAAACATGATTAATGAAATGTTGTCATGTAGTGCTAGTGTTTTTCAAAAACTGATTCTGGAAATTTTGTAAAATATTTGTTTCATAGCCAGACAATATATTATTAAAAAAATAAATATTTTAGTTAGATATTTATCAAATCCAGTAATTCATAATTTTAACTATTGTATCCATCAATGTGATGAATAATCTTAATTATCAAATCTTAATTAACTTCTTAAAAATTTATGAATTTTGAACTTCTGAAGTCCATGTATTTCTTAAATCTGTCATTTCTCCAAAATAATCAAAATGTAAAACCTCATAATTATTAGACTACATAAAAGAAAAAGTCAATTGCAATTAATTATGTTTCTTAAAATTTCCATAAAAGCAAAGAAGGAATAGGATTTTGTCATTTAATTAGGATAGTCTAGTATTTTCACCAAGGTGACCAATCTTTTTGTAGATGTTGTCATGTTTATAGTAGGTAGCGCTTATGAGCAGGCAACTGATTGTCTGTGGGTCAACCTAGAGGGATCTGTGAGACAAATTTAAAATATTTTATTATACAGTGTTATATTTAGATTAAATTTAATATTGAATACAACTGAATATTGAATATTCATGAATGAGGAAATGAAAGATATAGAATCTACATTTTTATGAAGTAACATTTGGAAATATTGCTAATAATTTTAAACATAATATTTTCAGGTAATTAAACTCTTCCTTAATTCATAGGCTATCAAGACCAAAAAATTAAACTTTTTATTGCTTCCATAAGATTTTAATATTTGTATTCAGTACCTCCTGGGGGAGCTATTGAGTGAGAACAGGAAAAAATAGGGGTGGGGAGTCATATGGTTGGCATTTACTTTGCATTATTTCCATTGTTTCTCATTTTTCATTAAGATGGTTGTATATCATGTATTAGGGTTGTGCATAAAATTTCTGTTTTAAACCTCTGCCCTAACAAAAGAAAAGTTATTTACCTGATCCATTTTTAGGGACTTGGATAAAATCATCCTCATCCTCATCACAGCTATCGAAGTTTAATTGTTGGAGGACTGTTTCTGACTGGTTTTCAGCTTGATTTACATCGTTCTGCTTAACGACGCTTCGAAGTGCAATAAGACGGTGATGTATTGCTGCATACAGATATCCTATGTCTTTGGCACTGGCCTACATGATGAAAATTAAATTATTAAGAATATAATTACTTAATAATGTTAGGCATATTTTACAAATTTTTAATCTTTCACTACTAATAAGAAAGAAATTATATGGCATAAATCTAGAACATAAATAAGTGCTAACAACCCTACAAACTAAGAGGAAAAAAACCAATTCATCTTGAACTAAATTGTATCCTAAAGTGAAAATAATTTTATAAGAGGTTCCAATTTTTGCATTTTAAATTGAGAAAATAAAATTTTGTGGTTTAAAATTTTATTTTGAATATAAGTTTGTTTATGTTTATGACAGTGTGGTCATCCATAGAGTACAAAAAAGCGCCGTCTTCATTCCACAGGCATATCTATAACATTTATCCTCCCGTTCAGACTCCCACCATGAATTCTGAAGAATAAAAACCCAAATCAAAGAGACCAAAAAAGTCAAGTAGGGAAACAAAAACTAAAGAAGAAAGAACATGCCAAAGGATTTTAGAAAGTAAGCTCTTTAAGGAGTAGACATTCAAGGGCATGATAAGGTACTCTTCTACTCTGTATTGGGAAGAAAAGTCATAATTGACTAATGGCATAATTCATGTCATCTCTGTATAAGCGATTCTTCTCATAGTTTTACAGCTTGCCTTCAGCAAGACATAAGATTAAAATTGTTAATTGATCTTGACTAGTAAATGCAGCAGGAATATTCTCACTCCACTGATTTACACTGTTGAAAAATTGTAGGGTTAGGGGGAAAAGTGTCTTCCATTTCTTTTATATCACTTTGCTTAGCCATCCCCTCCAAGGTGCATAGCTCTGTGAGGAAGCAGAACTCAAGAGAGTGGTATATTGCACCATAAACATATCAGAAGTCCTCGCTTCCAATATTTTTCTGTGCTATTTTTATGGTTGCTATTAATATAAAAAATGATGGTAATAATAACTGGTATAACATTTACTGTTATCATATTCTGTTTTTATTCAACCTTTGCAATAAAACCATGAGTTAATTATTCATTCCATTTATATTAGCCAAAGCACCTAGCACAGGTATTCAATATATAGTCATTTCCCTCCTCTTTACAGATGAGAAAATAATGGCACAGAAAAGTAAAATGACTTGTCCAGGTTTACCCAGATAGTCAGCAAAATGCCTGGGACTTGAATCCCAGGTTTCCTGACATCAAGGTCAGTTCTCTTTAAGGTAATGTGGAAGTAATGTACTTTTTTTTTTTTTTGTCCTTTCACAATTTCAAAGCAAATCTGGGAAAGTTTTTCTTCTTGCACCCTCTCCAGAGATCTATAGAACATTTGAAATCCAAGAACTTAAGGTTGGATCAACTGTATACCAACCTTTTGAGAGTAGGGTCTCCCATTATAATTTTTTATTTGAATATTCTTAAATTGCCCCAAATTATGTTTGAAAAAAAAAACCTAACTATACATTAAATAAATAACATATTTTTCTTTCTCGTCTTGTGTTTGATATTGCAGAGTAGGTGTTGAGTAAATAGTTGTTGACACTTAATAATTTAATCTTTTATATTATGTGAAAAGGTAATTTTTCCTTAATTGTTTATATTAAGAACATATATTGAAAGAGTATTTGTAATTGAAATATAAATATTATTTTGCTACTTTCACTAACATTAAATTTGAAATATACCTTTCACTACTCAGCATGTTTCCTTTTGCCATATTCATTTAGGCATTTTCATCCAAGAAATTCAGAACAAGAAATTAAAAATAAAATCGAAATGATATTTTTTTTGAATAACAAAATTGGCAATGCTAACAAAAAGTATAATGCCTTGTAAGTACCATAATAAAGTACTGGTAAGAGTGAAAGCGTGTTCAGTTTATTTAATGGCATGAAAAACCTAATTTATATTGACAAAAAGGAAGTTATGTATATGTATTTCATAATCAAATATTAGCTATTTAATCTCTACAGCCTTTTAAGGTATAATTGTTATTATCTCCATTTTGCAGATGAGTAAAATGAGGTTAAGGAAGGTTAAGTAACTTGCCTGAAGGTCATACAGTATATACAGTACAGTACATATACACAAATGCACATACACATAACATGCACACATATGCACACTCACACATACACATAATATACGTTATTATTAGCTGCTGTTGAGTCAGCTCCCAACTCATGGCGACCCCATGCACAAGGGAACAAAACAGTGCCCTATCCTGTGCCATCCCCATGACAGGTCTGGAATCAGGCATTTGTAATCCATAGTGTTTTCCTTCAAGCATAACAATGATTATGAGGATGGTGCAGGACCAGGCAGTGTTTCATTCTGTGGTACATAAGGTTACTGTGAGTCGGGACTGACTTGACGGCACCTAACAACAACAGTGTTTTCATTGGCTGACTTTTGGAAGTAGACTGCTAGGCCTTTCTTCTTAGTCCATCTTAGTCTGGAAGCTCCACTGAAACCTGTTCAGCCTCTTAACACACAAGCTTCCGCTGACATACGGGTATTGGCTGCATGTTAGGTGCACTGGCCAGGAATCGAACCTGGATCTCCTACATGGAAGTCAAAAATACAGTATAAGACCAAAATGTTAATAGTGGTCATCTCCGGGGGTAGAATTTTTTATGATTTATTGCATTTGGTTTGCTTATCTCTATTTTATGAATATTCTACCAAAGAAAAAATATATATTTTAAAAATCAGTGTGGGTCAGGTACTGAGCAACAGAATGTAATTATGGCTAACAGTTGCGATCTCTGGCAGCCTGCTTTACTCAATCAAAACTAGTGGGGACCTAGTCTGGCAGAATATCAAGTATTATTTCCCTAAATAGCAAACAGGGCTTGGACATCATCTTACACCTAACATTTTAATATCCAGTATCACTTACACCTAACCGCATACTTACAAGTAGTTAATAAAACTTTTGGTTTCTAATCAATAGCCATTTCTCAACTATACCATTACTGTATGGGAGCCAATTTACTTGTATTGTCATCTTCTGCCTGAGTCACTTGGGTACACAGTCTTCTCTAGTGTTCTGGAGCCTTTCTTTTTCTTTTTGGGCTCTTTCCCGCCATCTCTGTCTCTGTGTCTGAATCTTGCATTTCAGGGCAAGCATTCCTGCTGCAGAGAACAGCTAAAGCTGCGCTCCCATCCCGTTACCTTGGAGACTGACTCATGCCCAGAATTGGAATTTGCTGTTTGTTATCCCTTGGCCTGGTTGTTTTAACTTGCTAGCCCTGTGTTTTTCCATTTCTCACTGGTTCCTTTCGAGTGACCTCAAAGCCTTCTCAATCTCAGCATGCAGTATAAGCATCAGGCTATGGATTCCACTGATCGCCTCCTGGGAGCCATTGTTGACAGTAGTCACTTCAGAAACTTAGTACTAGTGTTGACGTAATTTCATTAGTAAAGAAAAAGGTAGAAGTTTGACAGTATGTATTATACAAATGTCTTGGAATAGGTACCAATTGTTTACTATACATTTTGATGTTAACTTCTGAATTTCATATAAAATTTAGGTCTTATATTAGACTGTAAACAACCATAATGAATGGCTGATTTTTTTGCCAGTGGTACAAGTTATGTAATAAAGTGAAAAAACAAATTGGTAATTGCAGAGACCTGAAATTTTTCACTTACCTGAATTAAAAATATTTTGATGCTATAGTCTTCTAAATCAGTAGCTGTTATTTGTAGATTTTTATGGTTTGCTCTTTGTATCTCCATTTGAGCCCAGAGTTTGCTATTGAGAATCAGCCTCAGGCTGCCTTGATTGCGCATAACTAAAATAGGAAAGTGAATATATTAGACTACAGACCCTTGATTCCTTAGTCTTCCAGAGGAATTTGCCATTTTTGAAAGCAAAGTAAATCTTGTAGTTGTTTATCAGACTGTATTTCCACCATTAAATTATAATTTGATTAGATTATAACTTGGTTTTTTTAAAAAATTGTATTTGGGCTTTATTATGTTGGAGGACTTTTTTTTTAGCTTAAATGCCAAAGTCATAATTTTTACTATAATATTAAAAAATGGTTAAAATTTTAGAACTCCTTTTAAAAATCTAGTGGTTTGAAGAATATTTATCCAAGAATAATTGTTAACAATGGATAAAATTGGACAAAAACTTAAAGGATTATTTAAATAAATTATGGTACAGCCAATCAAGGGAATATTATGCACCCATTTAAAATATTGAAGAAGGATACTTATTAATGTGGAAAGATGATCATGTTGTTGTTAGGTGCCGTTGAGTCGGTTGCGACTCACAGCAACCTGAAGTACAACAGAATGAAACACTGCCCAGTCCTGCGTGATCCATCATGGTAGTATTGTGTAAAAAAATCAGGCTACAAAGCAATATGAAAAATCACAAATTTTACAATATATAGATACATTTATGCATACAGAGAACAATGTCCAGAAGAATATATTGGCTATCTCAGGAAGGTAGGCCTATGAGTGATTTTAATTTTTTTTCTTTTTGTTTATCCAGATTTTCTGTTTCCTACAATGAACATATATTACCTGTATAATAAAAAGAAAAACATGTTTTTGTGTTTTGTTTCATTTTGGTTTTTTTGGCAGCAAGAGGGAGTGGAATTAAACCAGAGTAGCGTACAAGTAGCCACCTGCCTTGAGAATACTTGATTGGGTTATTTAAAAAATGTTGTTTGCCAGTTCCAGAACTGAAGACACTGTTCCTATTCTCCTGCTTTGAATTCTATCTCTTACCTGTTTATTGAGCTTGATACTTGAAACTCAACAAATATCCATATTCCTGGATCCACCTTCTACCTGTAGTCTCCTCCAAAGCTTTGATCTCCCAATATTGACCTATAAACTCACACATCTAACCCAGATTTCTGCCTGTGCTCATTTTCAATTTGGGCCTCTGAACAATGCCCCAGTGTGTCTTTTTGGATGGCAAACTTCCTGTATCTTTCAGTTTGACCAACTTCTGATTCTGACCGTCTGTCTATGCCTACAGAATTCAATAACTGTACAACTTTTTTGTTTTTTCCATAGAAACTGACCCTTTTCCCCAACTCCCACACCATGTTTGGAATGCCAGAGATGCATTTTGGTTCAAGTATTCTCTTTTACAAAAGCTGTCTTCACTTTATGAAATAATTTGCATCAAATTTCTTTAAATATTAATGAGATAGTGATTTAGGTGTGTGCTGGGCTCTGTCATAGGTGCTTTACATGCATTAGCTCATGAATTCTCTCATTCAATGAGTCATGGACTCCTAATGTCCCCATTTTAAATTGATACAACTACAACAGACAGAGAGAGATTAATTTGTCCAAAACACCAGTTAGTAAGTGGTAGAGCCAGAACTGGAACCCAAGTAGTCTGAGTCCACTTTAAATGGGAAGTTTCTCTAGCACATTAGAAACATTGTTTTCAACAGTCTGGTTTATTGATGGATTTTATAACACATCTCCATAAAGTGATGTATATCCATATTGGAAAAGTGACCCTGAGAAACTGGGGCTTGCTTGAAAAATGAGCTGAATTCCTTACTTAGTCTTGACTGTAATGTTCCACAGTCACTGCGTGCTGTGTCGTTCAGTCTCAAAGTTCCTCTGCCCCTTTCTGTCCAGGATTGTGTTGTGTTGTTGAATATAAAAAGCTTGCAGGTGATCTAGATGACAATTTTTTTAAATGTCAAATATATAGAAATTTTTTCAAAGTGAATCATTTCTTATGATATAACAATTATGTATTTGTCTGCTCTTTACCAGAACAATCTTTGTTAATAATGATTTATAAACCAGCCTTTAAAATGTATTTAACTTTTAAAAATATACAATTTTTGAATGGTTCAAACATCAAAAAGTAAAAAGACATATAAAGTGAAAAGTCCCCCTTCTGCCCTCTCATCTACCAATTTTCACCCCCCCAAACAGGTAAACACTGTTATTAATATTTTGTTTATCATTCCAGAGATGTTTGTATGTATATTGTTGTTGGTTGTAGTTGCATTCGAATCAATTTTGACTCATGGCAACCCCCTGTGTGCAGAGTAGAACTGCATGCCTCTCTCTCTGTCTCTCTCTCTATATATATAATCCCTATTTTTTTGTACAACTAGTAGAATTTCTTACATATTTCCTGCATCTTGCTTTTTTCACTTAACAGTATATGTTTATATACCAACTATTAAGTTAAACTTAGTTTATTTAATTATGTAATCTTATTTTAACATAAAGGCATCATGGAACTAGTTGCACGTTTAAAAAATCAAAGAATACAGCGTTAGACTAGGATGGGATGTCCCAGAGTACCTGACCATAATTTAACGCTTACCATGCCTTGTGGAAAAATGTTGTAGTAATTACTATAATTACAAAAAGTTGTAGTAATTACAGTGAAACCTGCAAAAACTGGCACCTGTGTAAGGCGGAAACCTGTCAGAGAAGGAAAACTAAAATATTTTCCACTAAGTAGAGAGCGATAGAAAAATGATGACTGCACACTGTCAAAGTTGGAAAACTTGCAAGTCCTGGACAACAAGGCAGTCCTGTTGAGTTCTGGCTCTCACTGGTTTCACTGTACATTTCATATGCCTAGGCTGGTAGATACACCGCCAACATTGAAATCCTATGTATGATACTGTATAGTATATAGCTGAAATTTTTGATTACATGAAATTCCAAACTTACTTAAAAGAATTTTATAAAACTATTGTTTTCATTATCTTACACTGAAATCAAGTCATATTATCAACATTTATAAAAATTTCCGCATAACAAGAATTTTTAAATCATGATAATAACATTCACCACAAGAGCAGGTATGAAAAGTATAAAACATAGATCTGAAGTTACTTTAAGACAGGGTACTCGGCTGTCTTCTTCCTAAGGGACGAATGCGAATGTTGTAAACAACAACCCATTTTCCTGCTAATTATGCATACACATATAAGAATACAGCAAAATATTGGTTTAATATGTGTAAGGCTCCAACATTCTTATGTAAGCCATTTAGTCTTTGTGACACTATACTTCGTCTTCATTTTTAAAGATGTCTCTGCTGATGGTAACTTTAGTCCATGTATGTAAGTGCTACTAGTAAGAGCTATGCATGATATACAGACCTTTAACACATTATGTTCTGCTTCCTCCCCTGTTATAATATCAATTTTCTCCAGCAAGCATTTTGGTGTTGGTTTGGACGAGAAAGCAGCAGCTGATTCAATTAGGGATGTATTTTTAGTGGAGTCTGTTCCTAAGAGGAAGTGGAGGGGAAAAAAACATAAAAGGCTCCATTTTCTCTACTGTGAAAGTTTTTTGTTGCCCTATTATCATACATGTCTCCTTGTCCTTTTATAACAATAAATGTTTTAAAAAAAATCAAACTGCTTGAGTTTAGGTAGAAATCTCCTGACAGATTCTCCATATCATTAAGTTAAAAAATGTTAAAGGCTTTTATCATGTAACCATTTTATGTACTTTAATCTTTACTAAAATTTTTAAAACACCAGACTATTCCTTCTTTTCAATTTTACAAATATTAAACAAATGACATGAAAAACAGGAAGCGAACTAGTTGAATCAAATGTTTTTACAAATGAAATACTTCTTACTTGTATTTGGAGAGCTCATAGTCAATTTCAGAGTGGATTTGAATGGTTCTTCCTTGGTATATGAATCATTTTCAACTTTAGGCTGACTGAGTTTTGGAGTACCCTAGGTGGGGGGGGGGGTTCCGAGGGGAAAGATGCGTTATTTAATTTTATCTCTATATACATGCAGTAAGCCAAAGGACGTTTTTGATCTTCTATTTCAACATGACAAACCCAGCTGCTGTTTTTGTTTTTGTGCTCCCTATGTGCTGAACAAGGAACTCTTTCCTATTATTAGAGGACCTTTGGTTCTAATCCTCAGGAAACATAATCTAGTTACCACCAGCATACTTCAGGTGGGATCTAGTCCCAGGAACAAGGGGAGAAATTCTAGTGGCCCAGAAGAAGGTAGACACTGTTCCATGTTTCCACCAGACTAACCTGCTGCCTACAAGGAGGTGCAACTATCTGTTTCAAGGTATTTCAGTATTCCCAACAATTCACTCTTGCTATCCAGTTCATGAGGGGGAAAAAAAAAACCACAGAACCCACTAGCTGTTTCAGAGAACATCTTTATAGAAAGAATCCTAGTTTTTCTTTCAAGGCAGTATTTGCTAACAATTGCTTTTAAGGCTGTATACTTGGGGATCTGCACATATGTTGTAATCAAAAGTATATATAAAAAAAAAAAAGAGTAATTGCCATGCCATTTATGATAATGTATACCCCCTGCAGAACAGGAAGAGTTAAGAACAATGATAGGTAAGTACTTATGGTTATATTTTTTCCCTTATGAACTCAAAATCCTTTCACATTGTTTAACTGGACATTAAGACATTCCATTAAAATTGGTAGAGAAAGATATAATTATTTCCATTTTAAGGAAATAGAAAATAAGGCACAGAAAGTCTAATTACTTATTCTAAAAGCACATGGTCAGTGACGAGGACACAAGGCCACAGGCTTACAGGATTAGAAGAAAATACAAATTATCTCTATAGCTCCTACATGACCTATGTAATGGTTAATTTTGTGTCAACTTGGCTAGGCTATTGTGTCTCTTTGGTCAAACACTAGTCTAGATGTTGCTGTGAAGATGTTTACATATGATTAGCATTTAAATCAGTTGACTTTGAGTAACACTGTTTACCCGCCAGAATGTGGGCAGGCCTCATCCCCATCAGTTAAAGTCCTTAAAAGCAAAAAACTGAGGTTTCTTGAAGGAGAAAGATTTTGCCTCAAAACAATAGACATCCTTCTGGAATCCCTGCTACCACAGCTGGGTCTACTGATTTTGGGACACTAAAAACCAAAAAAACCTCTTGGGACACTAGACTGCTGGAATTCCCAGCCATTGCCTGGCCTATGGATTTTGGACTTGCCAGGCCCCCAATCAAGTGAACCAATTCCTTTTAAATCAATCAGTCAATGTCTATCTATCTTACTGGTTTTGTTCCTTTTGTTGTTGTTAGCTGCCGTCGAGTCGGTTCTGACTCAACGCGACCCTGTGTACAACAGAACAAAACACTTCCCAGTCCTGCGCCATCCTTAATCATTGTTGTATTTGAGACCATTGTTGCAGCCACTGTGTCAATCCATCCGTTAAGGGTCTTCCTCTTTTACACTGACCATCTCTACTTTACCAAGAATGATGTCCTTCTCCAGGGTCTGGTCCCTCCTAATAACATGTCCAAAGTACGTGAGATGAAGCCTTGCCGTCCTCGCTTCTAAGGAGCTCCATGGCTGTACTTCTTCCAAGACAGATTTATTTGTTCTTCAGGCAGTCCATGGTATATTCAGTACTGTTCACCAACACTATAATTCAAAGGCATCAGTTGTTCATGGTGTTCTTATTCATTGTCGAGCTTTCACATGCAGATGTTGTTTTTGTTGTTGTTAGGTGCCACCTAGTCAGTTCCGACTCACAGCGACCCTGTGTACAACAGAATGAAACACTGCCTGCTCCTGCACCATCCTCATGATCGTTGTTATGCTTGAGCCCATTGTTGCAGCCACTGTGTCAATCTATCTCATTGAAGGTCTTCCTCTTTTTTGCTCACCCTCTGCATTACCAAGCATGATGTCTTTTTCTCTAGGAACCAATCCCTCCTGATAACATGTCCAGAGTATGTGAGACAAAGTCTCACCATCCTTGCTTCTAAGGAGCATTCTGGCTGTACTTCTTCCAAGACAGATTTATTTGTTCTTCTGGCAGTCCATGGTACGTTCAATACTGTTTGCTAACACCATAATTCAAAGATGTCAATTCTTCTTCAGCCTTCCTTATTCATTGTCCAGCTTTCACATGCATATAAGGTGACTGAAAACACTGTGGCTTGGTTCAGGTGCACCTTAGTCTTCAAGACAGCGTCTTTGCTTTTGAACACTTTAAAGAGGTCTGTTGCAGCAGATTAGCCCAGTGTAATGTGTCGTCTCATTTCTTGACTGCTGCTTCCATGGGCGTTGATTGTGGATCCAAGCAAAATGAAATCCTTGACAGCTTCAATACTTCCTCCATTTATCATGATGTTGCTTATTGGTCCAGTTGTGAGGATTTTTGTTTTCTTTATGTTGAGGTGTAATCCATACTGAAGGCTGTTGTCTTTGGTCTTCATCAGTCAGTGCTTCAATTCCTCTTGACTTTCAGCAAGCCAGGTTGTGTCATCTGCATAATACAGGTTGTTAAAGAGTCTTCCTCCAATCCTGACTCCCCGTTCTCTTCATATAGTCCAGCTTCTTGGATTATTTGCTCAGTGTACAGATTGAATAAGTATGGCAAAAGGATACAACTGTAACGCACACTTTTTCTGATTTTAAACCACTCAGTATCTGTCTTAGTTATCTAGTGCTGTTATAGTAGATATACCACAAGTGGATGACTTTAACAAACAGAAATTTATTCTTTCACAGTTTAGGAGGCTAGAAGTCCGAATTCAGGGCACCAGCTCTAGTGGAATGTTTTCTCTTTCTGTCGGCTCTGGGCGAAGGTCCTTGTCTCCTTTCAACATCTGTGGACCCAGCGTTCCTTGGAGATCTCCATGTGTCTTGGCGTCAATCTTCTCCTGGGTCTAGGAGGCTTTCAGCACAGGGACCCTGGGTCCAAAGCACACATTTCTCTCCCAGCTCTTCTCTCTTGGTGGTAAAGGTCCTACCTTCTCTGCTCACTTCTCTCTCCTTTTATCCTTTGTAAGATAAAAGGTGATTGTCTTAGGCTGGGTCCTCTAGAAAAGGAAAACCAGTGAAGTGTATAAATATACATAGAGATTTATATCAAGGAAATGGCTTATGTGGTTGTAGAGGCTGGAAAGTTCCAAGTTCATGGGTCAGGCTGGAGCCTTCTCCTGGCTCACATAGTTGCAGGGCTGGTGAACCCAAGATCAGCAGGTCAGACAGCAGGCCTCTGGCTCACAGGCTGTGGAGGCCAACAAATCCCAAGATCAGCAGGTAAGCTGCTAGCTTAAGTCCCAAGAACCGGAGGTCAGATGAAAAGCAGCCAGCTGCAAGATCCAGGGCGAGCAAAAGCCAGCGAGCTTTGCCAGAAAGTCCACCTATATTGGATGCAGGCCACACCCATAAGGAAACTCCCTTCCAACTGAGTGGCTGCTCATAACAGATCTCATCACAGAGGTGATTTTATTATATCAGAGCTCATTATGGAGGTGATTATATCATTACATAGCTGCCAAGCTACATCATAACTACCAAACCACCTAGAATCGTGGCCCAGCCAAGTTGACACGCAACCTTAACCATCACAGAGATGCAGGCCACACCCCCGGGAAATTCCCTTTACATCAGCTCAGGGCTGTGACCTGAGTAAGAGTGTTGCATCCCATCCTAATCCTCTATAACATAACCTAATCTTGCCTTATTAATTACAGGCAGAGATTAGAATTTACAACACATAGGACAATTATATCAGATCACAAAATAGAGGACAACCACACAATACTGGAAATTACAGCCTAGCCAAGTCAATACATATTTCTGGGGGACATAATTCAATCCATGGCAGTATCTTCTTGTTCCATTCGAATGACTGACTCTTGGTCTATGTACAGGTTCCTCAAGAGCACAATTAAGTGTTATGGATTTCCCATTCTTGGCAATGTTATCCATAGTTTGTTATGATCCACACAGTCAAGTGCCTTTGCATAGTCAATAAAACACAAGCAAACATCTTTCTGGTATTCTCTGCTTTCAGCCAAGATCCATCTGACATCAGCAGTGATATCCCTTGTTCCACGTCGTCTTCTGAATCTTGCTTGAATTTCTGGCAGTTCCCTATTGATGTACTACTGCAACCACTTTTGAATTATCTTCAGAATTTTACTTGCATGTGATATTAATGATATTGTTTGATAATTTCCACGTTCTGTTAAATCACCTTTCTTTGGAATAAGCACAAATATGGATCTCTTCC